GCGCAGGGGCCCCGGCGGCAGGCACAGCTGTGGGCTGTCGGCAGAACGGGCAGGGCACAGCCTCTCCGCCAGGCCCGCCTGTGGGCTGCGCAGCCGTCAGCCGTGCCAGGCATTCCAGGCAGAAGACGTGGGTGCAGGAGAGCTCTTTGGGCGTCTTAAAGATGTTGTCATAGCCCGAGAAGCAGATGGAGCACTCCAGAGGAGAGGCCACCTTCTCTGAGCCAGGGGTGCCGGGGGACCTGGGGCTGCCAGCCGAGGCAGGGGACCTGGGCACTGCGGCTCTGGGGCTGCTCCTGCCAGAAGGCGGCATGGCCGTATGCCACACCTGTGGGCCTGATGACATGGTTCCAGGCTGTGGGACAACAGAGACCACTGTGAGTGACCTCGACTGCCCCTTTCCTGCAAGGTCAGTCTATTGCTGTCCCTCTGTCCCTCTCTATTGCACTGGTCCCAAAGGTCCCTGGAAGGACACTGCCCACCTGTGGGCACCTCCACAAAGTCCTGCCTGTCCCTGGCTTAAGGTCTTTCTGCTCAAGTTGTAACCCTGACCTCCCCACTTCCTCACATGCTGAGTCAGGTGTGAGCATCCTGGGGGTGTCCCAGCCTGGCCAGCCTAGAGCGGGTCTAAGGATGGAGGCCATGTGCTCACTGCCTATCTGGCCATGCCACTGGGCAGAAATAAAGGTGATGATGACAACAGTCCACCACAGGTACTATTTACTTCTGGGCTCTGCCAGGCTGGTGTGATACACACGCAGAAAAGGTAGCCGGGGATGGGGGTGGCGACAGCCAGAGGGGCCTGGGCTCTCACAGGAGGGGTGTGGCCCTGGGTCAGGTGAAGTGGGTTTGAACACGGATCCCAGTGGTCAGCTAATGTGGTTGGTGCACACCAAGTCCGTGGGCAGCTGTGTGAGGGTGGGCGCCAGGCCTGGCTGGGTATGGGTGGTGTCAAGACTCTGGATCTGGGAACTGGCTGGAGCTGGTCAGGCTGCGGGAGATGGGAAGGGCCTGAGCAGGGATGGTGGCCACGGCCTGAGGAGGGGGTTTGCCTCACAGCCACAGCCCGAACCTGCAGGTCAAGCTTGTCTGGCTGGTGAGGAGGGCTTGGTGCTGGCCCTCAGGGCCTGGAAATGCCCTGCAGTGAGGGAGTGGTAGGTGGACAAGCCCCAGCCTTCCTCTCTAGGCTGGCCTGCCACCCTGAGGGTCACACCAGCCACAGCTGCCGTCTAGGAGGTGGTGGGCTGTCCTCTTTCCTACCGACTCCCCTCTCCATGGGAAACGCGGCCTCCGTCTCCCTGGTGAAGCTCAGGTGACCTGCCTGCTGCCTGTCCACTGGGCCCAGGTCTCCACCCCAGGCAGCCACGTGGGTCCTGACTTGCCCATCACCTTCTTGGAGGACAGAGGCGGCCAGGGCCTTTGGGACAACCCAAAGGGGCCATGTGACGTCATGGAGCCACGGAGGCTCCCCCAGAGGGGACCTGACCCTGAGCTGCTGGTCAGTCCAGGGGAGCTGGCAGGATGACTTCGAAGTGGCGTGCCATGAAGGCTCAGGTGTTGCTGCCTACTCACGGTGAACACTGTGAGTCACGATGACATCACTGTGATGTCTCGAGTGCCCCTGGCATTGCAGCATGAGATGTCACCACAACATGGTGGCAGTAGTTGCTGCAGGCCAGGTGACAGCCTCAGCAGGGTCTGGGGGAACCTCGGGCTGCCCTCCCCCAGCCAGCGCACGCCACATAACCAGTTCCTTGGCATTGAGGCCCCACCTGTCCAAGGAGGTATCCCACCCTGAGCCTGCACAGATGAGAAGTAGTGTCAGCTGAGCTGGCCTTACCTGGTCGCTGGGGTCAGCGGGTCCCGGGCATGGCCCTCTTGGCTGGCTCTGCCAGGCTGAGGCCCCGAGCCCTCCCGTCACAGCAGTGCTGGCTCCCTCTCCTCCGGGGTGGGCTGGCCTGAGCTCTAGCTGGCAGGTGTTCCTCTCCAGGGCTGGCCGTCACCAGCGGTGCGGGGCAGGTGGGGTACAGGGGAATGGGTGTGCCCTTGCAGGTGTGGAGCGCTGTCTGAGGCAGTTGTAAGTTCTCTGGGCGTGGGCTCCTGGCAGGTGTATTTATATACTCGCTTGGGATCTTGCTGGCCGGGGCGCGGCCTGGGGCCTCTGGGATTGGCTGGCCTTCCGTCCTCTCCCTGGCAGGCTGGGCGGCCGAGGGCGGAGTCAGAAGTGAGAGATCAGAGTCTGGGGTGGGGCTGGGGGTCAGTGTAGGCCTCTGCAGTCTGGGCAGGTCTGGGGTGCAGCTGGATGCCTTAGTAAAACCTCTCCCCTACCCCTGTGGACCCTGAGATACTGGAGCAGCCCCTCCAGAAAGAAATCTGCTCACCAACCCTGTGCAAGGTGGTGGCACCTAGCTCCTGGGTGAGCCTTCCAGAGGGTCCCTGCAAAGAGCCGCCCCACTCCCTGCTCAGCTCAGCTTGTCCTCCCCGCCCACCTGTGATCTCACTGACGCCCCATCACCCCCCAGCAGCCCCGTCCTGCCCCACCTCATCCATATGGCTTCTCATAAGCACAGCCCCCAAAACTTGGGCTTCTGCCGCCCCCACCCACCCCTCCCCACCTGCAGCCTTCGGGGGCCAGGAGAGCACTCCCTGCTCTGGGCCCAGGGTATAGGGTGAGAGGTCAGGGCTGGGAGCACCCGAGGGGTGAGTCAGGGACCAGCCTGGCTACAAAAACTTGTTTTAGGTGAGTGCCTGCTGGCAGCACCCTCAGTTACACACGTAGGGCAGAGACTCCAAGGAAGCCCCATCCTGCCAGGGGATCCGGAAATCTTCCTGGGGATAGGGGAGCAGTTCCAGCCAGTCAGCCTGGGGTCCTAGCAGACCACAGGGCCAATCTATGCAGAAGCCAGGCAAGGGGCTGGTGAGGGCATGAGGGCTGAGGGTGGGGGCCAGGATGGAGGATGTGGGGCCTGTACTGGAAGGGCTAGGGTCTGACCAGTGGCCTGGACTGTGATTCCTCACTGCCACCCTGTTCCTGAGATGGGACCCCAATCACGAGGCTGTGGGGAGGGGATATTGGGTTTGGTGAGGCTGAGAGCAGGAGTCCGCCCTGGGGAGGGAAGGCCCAAATCATCCCCACTGCCCTGGCCGGTGCCCAGTGACCACTTAAGTGAGGAGTCCAGGAGCCCCAGAGGCTGCCCAGCCTCCAACAGCACTAGGAAAAAGCACTGCGAGCCAACAGCGGTTAGAGGTCAGCAAAAGGAAGCCACTACCGCAGTGCTAGGAGGTGGGTGCACAGAGTGGGCCGCCTGGGCACAGGACCCCAGGAGGGGCTGGCCACTGTGAGATGGGAGGGGCAGCCAGACCTACACTCACTAGGAGTCCGAGATGTGGGGTGACTGTAGGACAAAAGGGGACCCAAAAAAAGGGCTCCCCCGAACATTCCATGAGGGGCTTAACAAGGGGCTGGGGTCTCAGATTGGGGTGGGAGTTCAGGAGAGGGAAGGGTGGGGGCTCGAGTAGTTGGGGGATGGGGGCTCGAGGAGGAGGGGGGTGGGGCTGGAGGAGGAGGGAAGGTGGGGGCTGGACGGAGGAGGGGGTGTGGGTGCTTCGAGTAGTTGGGGGTTGGGGCTCGAGGAGGAGGGAGGG